CGTTTTCGTCTTCGTCTTTTTTTTTTTTTGGGTTTGTCCCCCGCAGAGCATCTCAGCGACACAAGCAACTCAACTCAACCCAACCTAAAGCAAGCAAGGTCATGGCCACTCCGAAGAGCTCCTCGGCGAGACGCAGCAAGGGCGCCAAGAGGTCGCACCGCAAGCCGAAGCGGACGTGGAATGTTTACATCAACCGCTCGCTCAAGTCGATCAACGACCAGATGTCGATGACGAGCCGGACAATGAAGATCGTGAACTCGTTCGTGAGCGATCTCTTTGAGCGCATTGCGTCCGAGGCTGCCACGGTTGTGCGTGCCAACAAGAAGCGCACGTTGGGTGCGCGCGAGCTGCAGACGGCGGTGCGCCTTGTGCTACCGGCCGACCTGGCAAAGCACGCGATGGCGGAGGGCACCAAGGCGGTTTCTCACGCCTCCAGATGATTTTTTTCAAATGGTTTTTTTTTTTGGCGTTTGTTTGTTGGTCCTTTTTCTGACGTGTGTTTTTTTGTTAATAGTTTTGAGTTTTTGTGTTGTTTTTTTTTTGTTTTATGGGGTTGAAATGTTTAGTTTTGTTGGTTGGGTTGTTGTTTTTTTGTGTGTTTTAGTGTTGTGTAGTTTTTTGCATTTTTTTTGTTTCTTGAGCTTTTTGTTATTGTTATTGTTATTTTTTTTTTTGGTTGATCTTGAGAAGGAGGTTAGTTGTGTTTAGGACGTTCATGGCTTCTGCCATTACGAGGGAGAATGAACCTTCACCGCGTTTGGGAGTTGCTCTTACAGAGAATACCCATTTTTTTTCGTGGGTGATGCTGACGAGCAGTATTGGCCGTGTGGGAGTTCGTGTTATTTTTGCGTTTTTATGTTTAGTTGTTTTAATCTATATGCAATTCTTAGCCGGCGGCGATGGATCAATGCTTTCTTGTTCAGCAACATATTTGTTCTGTTGTTTTTTTGGCGGTGTTGTGAGTGGTCTTCCTCACACGCTTTTGACGCCTGTGGATCTTGTTAAGTGCCGCATGCAGGTTGGAGAATACGATTCCGTGTTGGAGGGATTTCGTACCATTTATAGGGATGCTGGGAGCTCACTTTTTGGTAGTATATCATTTTTCTACCGCGGGTGGGTCCCCACTTTTTTTGGCTATTCCCTCCAGGGGGGGTTTAAGTTTTTTTTTACGAAATGTTTAAATGTATGTTAAAAGGGTACTGCATGGAGCATGCGATGGGGAAATCGCCGCCGCAATCCTCAAATAATTTGTGCGAATTACTAACTTTTCTGGTTGCAAGTTTTTTTGCGGAAATGATTGCAGACGTTTTTCTTTCTCCATGGGAGGCCATTAAAATTAAGATACAGACCACAAGTGTGCACCGTACGCAGATTGGTGTCATTGTACCGATGATGTGGGCAGCAGAAGGTTACCGTGGGTTTTACAAGGGTCTCACGGTGCTCTGGTGCCGCCAGGTTCCGTATACGGTTGTAAAGTTTATGAGTTTTGAAAGCATTGCACAGCAGTTGTATAAGGTGTTTGGAAGCACTCCGCAGAGTGCTACGCCTAAGGCTGTGCAAATTTTTGTGTCATTGTTGGCGGGACTGTTGGCGGGGGTGCTTTGTTGTATCGTCTCTCACCCTGCTGACACAATCGTGTCCAAGCTAAACCAGCGGATTGACACTGTCAAGGGCACGACGAGTACCTTTTGTCATTTGCTACATGCTATTGGGTGGTGGGGAGTCTGGAAGGGTATTGGTCCTCGCTTGTTGATGGTGGGGACACTTACGGGGATGCAGTGGGTGCTGTACGATAGCTTTAAAGTACTTGTGGGCCTCCCCACTACCGGTGGCAGTCGCGTTGACACGAGGAACGTATTACCTGTTTCAGGGGCCAAGGTGAAGTGAAAAACAAAACTCGTAAACAAACGGAGAACGATGGAGCCAATGCTTTTTTTTTCCCCCATGAGTAGTGTGGTTATGCCCTCATTTCTATGTTTGCTCCCTTTTTAGATTTGCTAGTTAAGGTTATAGAGAGGGAGGAGCGTGGTGTAAGGGGGAAGGAATCGGATGCATTGGAGACATTTTCACAAAGATATTGTTCATGATGCGTTTTGGAGGAGTGTGTATCTCTGTTCATTTTTGCTATTTTCATCGCATGCCTAAACTGCATGACTTTTTCTGTCTCTATGAAACAGAACGCGAAGAGAAGCAAAATAACAATAATAAGGATAGACAAAGCGACGTGAGTGAGTGTCATTCACTTGCAGAGCTGCGTGGCGATGCGGGATGATTGACATCACTGCCGTGCCCGCCCGTACTGTGACGTGCCCCTTTCCTCTTTTGGCGCATGACGCAGCGGTGCCCCAGGACTCTCTGACGTCACCGTTGCTGCTGCTACTGATGGGTCGGGAGAAGGCCTGCGTTGCGGTGCTACAGGACCACAAGATCTGTCTTCGCCGATTTATTTTGCAGTCCCATCGCACACTGACGGCCTGTGCATTTCGGCCCATTAACGCGAACGACGAGCATATTTTTGCATTAGCGGACACCTTTGCTACTCTTACGCTGCACCGTTTTTCTCAGGCGTCAAATCGTGTGTCGCCGGTTGATCAGGATAGCGGCACTATTTTCGTCGGCAACGCATGGGATACGACCCCGCGGATCGATCAGGTTGTTCCGGTGCGGGATAGCAGTGGGGTGGACGCTGTCTGCACGCGTCAAGGTGAAACAAATGCTGCGTGGGCAATATCGTTTGAGCGAGAGGAGGCACACACGATAAAGGTTGACGGCACGTTGGAACGATTATTTGTACAACAACAGGTTACTTCGGGCTGTTTCGTGGGAACCACGCGACGCGGCGTATCGCTCATCTCTCCCGCCTCTGGGGAGACATTGATGGAGCTTCGATTACCAGACGGAGAAGGACATGTTACGGCTGTACAGTCAGGCGTTGCCGGGAGTGGATATTATGCCGTGGTAACTACTTGTGGTACCGCCCTTATGTATGATCAACGCCGCGCTGAGAAGCCATTTTGGTCGGAGCCGCTGTGGGACTTACGTGATGTCAAGGACGCTGGCAATGCTGAGACGCTTATGGCGTATTGTTGCGAGGGTGTGTGGGCTGTTCGCGCTGCTGAAAAGCTCCACTGCCTGCGCTGCACTGACGGCTCTGTTGTGTGCCGTTCTTTTCCACTTTCTGGAGGTTTTCATTCGTCGCACTTTGCCACTGCAGGTTTGTACTTCACAGATGACGTTCTTCACTTTGTGGGAAGTAAGGGTGTTTAACTAATATATTTTTGTCTGATTTTTTTTCCTTGTGTGGAGGATAGCAAACACACACACGCACACAACCGAAAAACAAAAACAAAAAGATGGAACAATGCAGAGCTGACTGAACTGGTATTATTTTGCCTGCGTATATCCTATTGTTTTCTTCTTTTCCCAAACTTTCTCGTTTTACTCTTGTTTGTCTTTTTGCTTCCTTCCCCCCTCCTTTTTTTTTCTTGTATGTGTGTGTACTATATTGGGCTGAGGGAGTGTTGCTAAATTAAGGAGGAGTTGCGCAGCATGTTTGCGTCGAGGCTTCTTCTGTTGCGACACACGAGATGGAGCTATGCGCCTGGCAAGGTGGCTCCCGAACTTGCAGCCTCTATTCAAGACATCATCTCGAGGGATCGTGTGGTCATTTTTCTCACCGGCACACCGGAGCAACCCCGTTGCCGCTTCACAGTGCAGATGGTGGACATGATGCGGCAGCTGGATGTCCCCTATAGCTTCTTTAATGTCCTTGACGACGATGAGGTGTGTGAGGGACTCAAGACGTACAGTGACTGGCCGACGTATCCGCAGCTGTATATTGACGGGGAACTCGTTGGGGGATACGATGTGTGCAAGAATATGCTGCTAAACGGTCAGCTTACAAAATTGTTCAAAGGGAAAAATCTCCTTTGAGAGTAAAAACGTTAACACATGAATACTAATGTGCATCTCTATTTTCTTGAATGCTACACATTAGATCGTACAGGAGGAAGGAGCTGGAAAAGAGAGAGGAAAAAAAAACATGCTTTGAACTTGTTTTACTTGGGTCCCTACCCCCTGACTGTCCTGCTTTTTACGTGTAAACGCATGTATACGTTTATTTGGAGCGAAAGAGTGTGTGTGTATGTATGTGTACGTACGTGTGCGTAGTCTTTGATACCTGTATGAACTGAGGAGGCACGTGCCTGGTGAAGACAAATGCAGCTTGTGTTTCTTTCCTCTCGTTTCTATTGTAGGAAGACTCTAGTCTTTCAAGTTATGTCTATAGGTGGCATTCCACATGAAACGGTAAAGGTGTTGTGGCAGGTGCATTGTGCATCCCTCGCTCCTTTGTCCTTTGGAGAGGAGATTGTGGGGGAAATGTGGAAACTATTCGCCGGTTTTTTGGCTTCACTACCGTTGAAGTCTGCGGCGTCATCGTCGTCCAATCACGCTTCCTTGACACTTTCAATATTTACTTTTACAGTGGACCTCCGTAGTGAGAGCTTCACACAAGAAATGCGAACTGCCCTTGTGAATCAGCCGCACATTATTGTGCCACTACTGGAATTTTTTAGGGGGGTGCTGGACTACCAGCAACCGTCGGAGGGACATCCACGGGGAGCTGTCGGAAGCTGGCAGTTGGTTTGTTCTGTCATTGGTGACGATGCTTCCGCGAGGTCATTTGATGCCTTGGGCGCCTCTTCACTTGGCCGGCTTGTGATGATTCGTGGGACCGTGGTTCGTATGAGCCCGTCCCGTGTGGTGTGTGTGAAGATGGCGTTTTGCTGCGGTTCCTGTGGGGGTGTTGTGGAGGTTGCAACTGAGGATGGCGTTCTGGTGTACCCTGGGTCCTGTCGCGGTAGATGCAGCGGGTACAAGTGGTCCCCGCTGGTGGGCCAGGGAAAGTGTGAGGAGGTGCAGGTGCTAAAGATTCAGGAACAGGCCGACGTCTACGACGGATCCGCAGGTGGCGGTAGTATTCACAAGATGATGACAGTGGAGTTGCGTAGTATCTGGATTGATGCCGTGACGGTGGGTGAGTCCGTTGTCGTGTGTGGTGTTCTTGCTGCTAGGCGTGGTGAGGGGCGTGGTGACGCCACGCAGCAAATAGCTGTGCGAGCGTACTCAATAGAGGGAAGCCGACATGGCACTGAGCGGGGTGTGTCGCTGTCGATGAACTCATTAGAAGAAAGTGCACAATTTTACGAGATGGTGCGGCATCCGCAGTGGTTTGAACGTTTATGTGCCTCCCTTGCACCATTTATTTTTGGGTTACGACACGTAAAGGAAGCCATTGTTTTGGCTGTGGTGGGAGGCACTGCACATAAGATGCGTACACGCAGCAATATTCATTTACTCATGGTGGGTGATCCAGGTCTTGGGAAATCACAGCTGCTGCGTTCTGCCTGCACCATTGCAGCCCGTAGTGCCTTTGTGTGTGCTCACACTTCGTCCTCTTGCGGTCTGACACTCACGCTTACAAGAGATCCAACCACGGGGGAAACATCCTTTGAGGCTGGAGCGGTTGTGCATGGTGACGGGGGAATTACATGCATAGACGAAATTGACAAGGGTGTCACAGAACACAGGGCACTTCTTGAAGTGATGGAGCAGGAGACAGTCTCTATGGCAAAGGCGGGGATGGTTTTTTCTGTTCCAGTGCGTACAGCTATTCTTGCTGCAGGTAATCCTTCCGGTGGCCGATTCGATGACTCAAAGGCTGTGACAGCGAATCTAAACCTTTCCCCCGCACTACTCAGTCGCTTTGATATTGTTGTCTGTCTACGCGACCCACACACGGATTGTACTCGCTCACTCTCAGAGCATGTCCTGCGGTTACACCGTCCACATGACGAGGCTGGAGCACGTCACGCAGGAGGTACAGGTGGCGGGATGTCACTTTCCGTTGAGTTGGTGCAGCGTTTTGTGGCCTTCTGCCGCCATCACTGTCATCCTTCCCTTCGTGAGGAGGCGAGCGAAGTCCTGAAGTCACACTACCTGGCGAGACGGGCAGAGATGCGGGATGATGAATTGCCTGTCACACCGCGGTTCTTGCAGGCTCTAATTCGTGTGGCAGAAGCGCGTGCCAAAGTTGAACTTCGTCACGAAGTAACTGCTTATGATGCGCAGTACGCCGTGGAGCTGTTGCGGCAATGCTCTGGGAGTCTGCGCGGCCCCTCTCGCACTTCTTCCCTTCGCCCTGCCGCCGCTAAAAAGATGAGCCAGCGGGAGATGATTTTAAGCACTCTTAAGGCGGAAGTCTGCCGTACGGGTGTTAATGCTCTTCCCCACCGAGTTATTCTTGCCGCCTGTGAGGAAGCCGGCTGCCGCAATGCCAATGCCATGTTGCACCAGCTGAACGAGGTGGGAGTAATCCTGCAAATTGGGGATAAGTACCAGTTGCGTGGAGTGTAGAGAGCATGACGCTCAATTACAGTGAGGACAGTCCTATCGAATCAGAGAAGAATTATTATTATTTAAAGCAAGGAGGGAATATGCATAAACATTATATTCGGGTCTTGTTGACAATAGTTATTGCCTGTATCCCGCCTTTCCTCTGGTTTACATTATTGTTTTTGATTGCCGCACTTACCCACCCAACAACTTTTATCTCTTTTTCTCACATGATGTATATATATATATATATTGGAATGTGGCTGCCTTGTTGTTTCACCCTGTTTGCAGAAGTTTGGGAAGAGTTGGGGTCCTTGATAGGGGGACGTGGTCGTAGACGATGCGTCTGTCGCTTGCTCTGCTGCGTCGAGGTAAACCTCGACCACGGGCTGGCATGTTTCCCGACAAATATCGCCGTGTGCCGGCACTGCTGAAGCCCCAACAGGGCGGGCAACAGTGCTTTAATGAGTTTCTTATTCGCTCCACAAATGACCGGTTAATGCGGCGCGACGTTGAGGACGATGCAGATAAAATGGAGACCAAGGTTGCTGCCCAGCTCCCGCAGGGGGATTGGGAGCGCATGTCAGCGTGCAGCTCTTTAGAGACGGTGCAGAAGGAGATGCAGCGGTTGGTAGAGGGGGATGTAGCACAACACCAACGTGTGTTTAACGAAAGAGTCTGGTATGAGGAGGAGAAGAAGCGCCGTCTTGAAACATGCGTCGATGGTGCAGCGACAACTGAAGAGACTGGAGGTGCAGAAGAGCATGACTTCCCCCCGCGGGTGCTTGGAAACGATTATTTTAAGAGTCGGTTTGGCTACTCTCTTGTCAAGGAGAGCGAGATGCCGCACGGGGTGACGGACTACAACCAACTGGATATGTGGGGGGAGATGCCCAAATACACAAATGACATGGTGTTCCTTTATTTGATTTCACGTCGGCGTAACACGTACGCGGTGGCGTACACGTACGAAGGAAAGCGTATTCTTCCCACCTATACGGCGGGTAACAGAGGTCTAAAAGGTGGTGATCGTGGCTTCCGAAGCGATGGCTCTACGGACAATGGCCATCAGGTCACAAGCATGTATCTGAACGATTTGTTGCCAAAGCTACGTGAAATTCGAGCAAACGAAGGGCGGCCTATTGGGCGGGGTGAGAAGATTGAACTTGTTGTACGAGTCATGGGCTTTTACAATGGTCGACAGGGGGCGGTGCGGGCAGTGCAGGATCGCGCCAACGAATTTCACGTTCGCTACTTTGAGGATATAACCCCGTTTCCACTGAACGGACCGAAGATGCCGCGCGGCGTTTTTAAGTAGAGCCTTCAGTAGTGGTAGTGGAATGAGAGAACCAACGTGCAGTGGAGGAGTAATTGTTGGAGAAGGGGGAGGAAGGAGGAAAACTCAAGGTGAGATCGACCAAGAGAGAGAGAAAGCGAAAAGAAAACAAATGCGACCAATGAATCCTCGTGTCTCATGTCTCAATTCATCAATCTTGGAAGTCTCTTTGGGTTGTTTGGCCCTTTAATGTTTTGTTTTGTTTTTACTTTTTTCATTTCTCTCTCTCCCTCTGTGTGTGTGTGCACGTACATTTGGATTTAGGTGCATGAGTGATTAGAACAGGAGTTGGTTCTTCATTACAAGCCTTTATTATTTTTTTCCGTGAACAGTTTTGCGAGCAAACATTCTTCTCTTTCAGCGCTTCAGACCTCTTTCGATGAAAGCATTTGATTTGGTTGTCATTGGTGCCGGGTCAGGCGGTCTCGAGGCCGCTTGGAATGCCGCGACTCTCTACAAGAAACGAGTGGCGGTGATTGACGTTCAGAAGGCTCATGGTCCACCATTTTTTTCGGCTATGGGTGGCACATGTGTCAACGTTGGATGTGTTCCGAAGAAACTGATGGTTACTGGAGCGCAATACATGGACCAGCTGCGCGAGTCGCGAGGTTTCGGGTGGGAGTTTGACCGCAGCACCCTCAAGGCAGACTGGAGTAAACTCATTGCTGCAAAGGACGAGGCGGTGTTGGATATCAACAAAAGTTACGAGGGCATGTTCGAGGAGACCGAGGGTCTGGAGTTCTTCCTGGGCTGGGGCTCTCTGGAGTCGGCGACAGTTGTGAATGTTCGCGAGACTGCGGACTCGAGCAGCGCTGTGAGGGAGCGCCTGGAGACGAAGCACATTATTATTGCTACCGGCTCGTGGCCACAAATGCCGAACATTCCCGGTATCGAGCACTGCATCAGCAGCAACGAGGCGTTTTACCTGCCAGAGCCGCCACGCCGTGCGCTTACCGTCGGCGGCGGATTTATTTCCGTTGAGTTTGCTGGCATTTTTAATGCCTACAAACCGAAGGATGGAAAGGTAACGTTGTGCTACCGCCGTGACCTCATCCTCCGTGGCTTTGACAACACTCTTCGTGAGGAACTCACAAAACAGCTCACTGCCAACGGAATTGACATCATGACGAAGGAAAATCCCGCCAAGGTGGAGCTGAACCCGGACGGCAGCAAGCATGTAACCTTCGAAAGCGGTAAAACGATGGACTTTGATGTTGTCATGATGGCCGTTGGCCGTATCCCTCGCACCAATGATTTACAACTGCAGAACGCAGGTGTTGTGCTTAACAAGGGTGCCGTGCAAGTTGATGAGTACTCTCGCACGAATGTTCCTAACATATACGCTATTGGCGACGTTACGCAGCGTGTCATGTTGACACCTGTGGCCATCAACGAGGCTTCTGCCCTCATCGATACCGTCTTTGGTAACAAGCCACGAAAGACTGATCACACCCGTGTGGCGAGTGCCGTCTTCTCTATTCCTCCTATTGGCACCTGCGGCCTCACCGAGGAAGCTGCCTCGAAGCAGTACGATACAGTGGCAGTGTATCTTTCAAGCTTTACCCCGCTTATGCACAATGTCAGTGGGTCCAAGTACAAGAAGTTTGTGGCAAAGGTAATCACCAATCACATCGATGGTACAGTGGTTGGGGTACATCTTCTAGGAGACAATGCTCCTGAAATCATTCAAGCTGTTGGAATTTGTCTCAAGATGAATGCCAAAATCTCTGACTTTTACAACACAATTGGTGTGCATCCCACAAGTGCAGAGGAGTTGTGTTCCATGCGTACCCCCTCCTACTATTACGTGAAGGGGACAAAGACAGAAACGGTTCTAGAGGCAGATTTGTAAGGAAATAAATAATGGTTTACTTTTGTTTGTTATTTTTCATAAAACAAAAACGTGGGGGAGGGGGGGGGGCGCAATGAAAGAGATCTACGTGACCACTCCAATAAGAATATATATATATACTGGAGTGCAAGAGCGTCATGAGAGAACGCCGTAATGTTTTCACTCAGACTAGTGATCAAAGTTGGGCTAGCCCTGGCCGACTTTATAGGAAGTCCACGGCACGACCCACATCATTCCCGCTTGCCTGTCAAGTCACCGAAATTTTTTCAGGGGATCTCGTTTTCTGTGGGAAAAAGGCTCTTCTTTATATTGTCTTCTATGGGTTTTATTTTATGGCAAAACGCAAAGCATGTGGGTTGGGCAGGTAGAGACAAGAAAGAATAAAAGGAAGTCAATAAACGCACAACCAAAAAGCAATGAAACGATGAAGCAAAAATAATTGCCAATCTTTTTAAGTGTTGTTATGGGGCCCGTGAGAGTTGTACCTCGGAGTGCGAGGGGTGGGGATGGGGGAGAAAGGAAAAGAAGAAGAATAAGAAGAAGCCCACCTAACGGAAATAAGAGGAAGTGAGTTCTAAGATGAACTCGCTTTTACCATTAAGTATCTCTTTAAAAAAATAAAATTAGAGTCTGCCCTTTTATTGCTTCACTCTTTTGCTGCTTATTTATGCGCTACTGGATTGCCGTGGTCTGTCATTAGTTTTTAAAATGTTTTTTTCCCATGCTTTTTGGGTTTCCTAGCCTAGTGTTCGTGGTGTTCACGGTGTAGCCAGGAAGTAAGAAGGTGGACAGGATGAGCGAGTTTGAGCAGCTTGGCATCCACCAGTGGCTATCGAAGCAGTGTGCCTACATGGCGTTGCACCACCCCACACCGATCCAGAAACTTTGCATTCCCGCGATTCTAGCCGGCAAATGCGTGGTGGGAGGCGCGGCCACTGGAAGCGGTAAGACGGCATCATTTGCCCTCCCACTGCTGCAAATTCTTGCTGAGGACCTGTACGGGGTGTTCGCGCTTGTGTTGACGCCATCCCGTGAACTTGCATACCAAATCTTGGATCAGTTTGTGGCGCTCGGTGCTCCTTTGCACATACGCCCCGCCATCATTATTGGTGGTGTGCCGCATGAGCAACAGCTGGACGCATTAAAAGCCCGCCCACATGTCGTTGTTGCCACGCCGGGCCGTCTGAAATTTACGTTAGACACCTTCCCAGAGGCCCGCAAAGCCTTTTCTCACCTGCGTTTTCTTGTGCTTGACGAGGCGGACAGGCTGACGAGCGGTGACATTGAAACAGATGTAGCGGAGATTGTTAGTCTGCTTCCCCCCGCACGCCCCGAGCGGCGTGTGCTGCTGTTTACCGCCACACTGGAGCAGCGCCTCACGCGTGTGGAAGAAGGTGGGTGGCTGGAACGTCTTGGAATGTCGGATGCCGCTCAACAGCTCGAAGTGTTCGCCATCAACACAGTGACCACTGCCACAGATGGTTGCGGGGCTACAGCTGGGTCGTATGCTGTTGCCGACTCGTTGCAGCAGCGATACCTCTTTATCCCCAATATGGTGAAGCTAGCTTATCTCGTCGCGTCCCTTCGGGCTGCGGGGACGGAGCAATCCACCATTGTCTTCACCAATTCCTGCATGCGTTGTGAAGTTGTTCGACTGACGTTACAGCTGTTAGGATTCCCCGTCTGCAGTCTTAACTCGATCATCTCACAGAAACACCGACTCGACAACTTGGCTACATTCAAGCTAGGAATTGCCCGCATTTTGGTGGCAACGGACATCGCGAGTCGCGGTTTGGACATCCCCACTGTGGGTCTGGTGTTGCACTACGACCTGCCCAAGCAGGCGCCTACGTACTTGCACCGCGTGGGTCGCACAGCGCGTGCTGGTCGTGAGGGTCTTTCCGTTGCCTTTGTGACGGAGTACGACGTGGACTTGGTGCGCCGTCTAGAGAAGAAAATTAAGTACACCATGACGCTTTGGAAGGCCAAGGGTGTCAGTGAGAAGGAGGTATTGCGTGTTCTTGATGAAGTCTCGGCTGCGAAGGTGCAGGCGAAGCTTCAGGTGGAGGATCAGTTTGGGCAGCGTGTGAACACATTGAAGGCCAACGCGGCAGAAAAGCGAACTCGCCAGTGGGAGAAGGAGGAGCGCGTGGATCAGCAGCAGGAGCAGCAGGCAACAACCGCAAAGATGCGTCGCACCAGCTCCAGCAAATTAAAGACCATGAAATTAGTTTCGTCACACTCCATACCGGATGTTGTCCCCGTCAAGGGACACTCGGAAACCAAGCAGGCAAAAAAAACAAATAAGCGGCGGAGCGACAACGTGTAAAAGTTGACAGTCATAGGTGCCACCAAATAACACCAAGAAACGGGTTGAAAAGGAGTTGAGCAGCGCGTAATTTCCTGCGTATTATTATTGTTATTATTTTTAACGAAAAAACAAACTGCCCTTACGCCTTGGACTCTCTCTGTTCTTCCTTTATGTTCTATGATATTTTATTCCGCCTTCTGCATGGCAGCGAGAAAGACACCATGATAGCAACACTAACTAATGTATATATGTCTCCCTTGCCTCTCAGTGTCAATACCATTATTATTTTGCTTGCGGACTTCTTTTAATTGTTTATGTGGTGGATGCATTAAAAGGAAACCACAAACGCACGTCATGCGGAGCGCAAGCAATCTCCGCGCCGCGGCGCAGGAAGCCACCGACCGATCTTTGCCATCATTTGACAACCATTATAACAATGGTGTCCTCATAGACAACTGGCAAGAGGGCCGCATCTACGACGAGAGTGGTCGTAAATTTACACTGGCGATGGATCATCCTGTAGGGCCGCCATGCACCGTGTATAAGGCCGATTACTCCAATCAAGGTAGAACTTCGCTGCAGCCCATGATGCGGCCCAGGGGGCTCGGGAAAGAGCTCATCTTGGGTGAGGGAAAAACAACCACCCTTGAATGGATTCCTACAAGTACCACATACGGAGAAACACAACAACACTTCATAAACAGCAAATATGGTAGATCACGCCGTTCCACAGGCCAACTCAATACCACAGTTAGGGAGATATATGGGCATACCTTTAGCGACTCACCTAATGCTTCAAAACAGTGTTCCACAGCAGACGAAGACAACTACGGAAGGTTTAACACCACCAAGACAGTAATGGACATACCAGTCGAGAGCTACCACTTCCAACGACAAATGGCGCAAAATCAAAAGCCACAATAAAACACACGCATGTAACTGAGATAACCCCTCCATTCACACCCAATGTATGTAACTACTTTCAAAATACAAATACTGCACAAAAAAAAAACGATAATAATAATAATGACCAACAAACACATACACAACAATAAAATAAAAATTCAAAGCGGATTTATTAAAAAAATAACCTCCAACCTCCACCCCTTATTTCCCCTGCAAACCACTCGAACAAGACAAGTACACACACTCTCGTCCAACCACAACCAAGAAATGAAATATCACGCAATAAATGGGAATACCAATCTCCAATCCGAATACACCGACAGCTACAGATTGCGACCTCTACAAAATCAGTCGTCAACAACCATAACTGCCGCCTACAAGCCAGTGGACCCGTCGCGTACAAGCGCGAGCGGCTGCACGAGGAGGACGGAGAGGTGGGACCGCGCCACGTTGACCCCGACCACTTCCGCTCCACATCGCATGACGCCTACAAGCCAGTGGACCCGTCGGCATACAAGCGCGAGCGGCTGCACGAGGAGGAGGGAGAGGTGGGACCGCGCCACGTTGACCCCGACCACTTCCGCTCCACATCGCATGACGCCTACAAGCCAGTGGACCCGTCGGCGTACAAGCGCGAGC